ATGCCTGGCTATTTTTTGGTTGTAGTTGTCATTGTTGTTTGGCAGGCCCGGGCTGCATTTGAACCCGCCAGGCTCTGGTGTATGTGGTTGGCGCCCTAGCAGCTGAGCTACAGGTACCAAGCCCAAATTTTGCATCCTTGAGAAAAACTTCACTTGCATTCTCCTTTTCATATATTGTTGGATTTGATTCACTATATTTTTTTCTTGTATAATCTTTTAGTATTAGAATTATGCAGGCTTTAAAAGATGAGTTGGCAAGTATTCTGTCCATTGTCTAAAAGAGTTCTTAAGACTGACATTTCTATCTTAAGAGATTGCCAACTTCACCAGTAAAGCTATCTGAGCTTGGAGTTATTTTTTTCTAACAAATTTCATTAAAAACATAATAGGGGCTCAGCACCTGTGGCTCAAGTGGCTAAAGTGCCAGCCACATACACCTAAGGTGGCGGGTTCGAATCCAGCCTGGGCTTACCAAACAACGATGGCTGCAACCAAAAAATAGCCGGGTGTTGTGGCAGGCACCTGTGGTCCCAGTTACTTGGGAGACGGAGGCAGGAGACTCGCTTGAGCCCAGGAGTTGGAGGTTGCTGTGAGCTGTGATGCCATGGCACTCTACCCAGCGGGACAGCTTGAGGCTCTGTCTCAAAAACAAAAACAAAAACAAAAAACCAAAAAAACAACTAAACATAATAGGGCTTTTCAGATGTATTATTTTTGTGTGTCAGTTTTGATAAGTTGTTTTTCAAGAAATTTGTCCATTCATTTGAATTGTTAAACTTACTGACATAAAGTTGATTATTTCGTTATTAGTTGTTTGTTTTTTGAGACAGAGTCTATGTCACCCTTGGTAGAATGCCATAGTGTCAGAGCTCACAGCAACCTCAAACTCTTGGGATTGAGTGATTCTCTTGCCTCAGCCTCCCAAGTAGCTGGGACTACAGGTGCCTGCCACAGTGCCTGGCTATATATTTATTTTTTGTTGTTGTAGTTGTCATTGTTGCTCAGCAGGCCCAGGCCAGGTTCGAACCCGCCAGCCCACTGAGCATGGGTGCAGAACCTCATTAATAAGTTTTTTAATGCAAGTGGAATCTATTCTCTCATCTCATTCCTAACAATAGTGATTTGTGTTTTCTGTTTTCAAAATTTTGATCAGTCTTGCTTGCATTTCTCAATTTTATTAAAGCCTTTGTTATTCTTCACTATTAGTTTGTTCCCTATTTCATTGATTTGGCTCATCTTTTACCTTCCTTCAATTTACTTTAATCTGCTCTTCTTTTTCTAGTATACTATTTCTACTATTTCTCCCCTTTTTTGGAGACAGAGTCTTGCTCTGTTGCCAGCTAGAGTACAGTGATGTTGTCATAGTTCACTGCAACCTCAAACTCCTGGACTCCAGTGATTTTCCTGACTCAGCCTCCCAAGTAGCATGTGTCACCACACCTGGCTATTTTTTGTACAGATGGGGCTTACTCTTGCTCAGACAGGTCTTGAACTCCTGACTTCAAGCAGTCCTCCCAACTTGGCCTCCCACAGTACTAG